GTTGATGTATCTTGAGGTCATCCTTTCTAATGAATGATGTATTACACACATCACAGGAATATGGGCGCTCACCACTATGTATGCGTTGATGTGTCTTCAGACTACTCCTGTGACTGAATGATTTGTTACACACATCACAGGAATATGGGCGTTCACCACTATGTATGTGTTGATGTATCTTGAGGTCTTTCTTTCTAATGAATGATTTATTACACACATCACAGGAATATGGGCGCTCACCACTATGTATGTGTTGATGTGTCTTCAGACTACTCCTGTGACTGAATGATTTGTTACACACATCACAGGAATATGGGCGTTCACCACTATGTATGCGTTGATGTATCTTGAGGTCATCCTTTCTAATGAATGATGTATTACACACATCACAGGAATATGGGCGCTCACCACTATGTATGCGTTGATGTGTCTTCAGACTACTCCTGTGACTGAATGATTTGTTACACACATCACAGGAATATGGGCGCTCACCACTATGTATGCGTTGATGTGTCTTCAGACTACTCCTGTGACTGAATGATTTGTTACACACATCACAGGAATATGGGCGCTCACCACTATGTATGTGTTGATGTATCTTGAGGTCATCCTTTCTACTGAATGATTTATTACACACATCACACTCATATGGACGCTGTCCACTATGTATGCGTTGATGTATCTTCAGAATACTCATCTGATTGAATGCTTTGTTACATACATCACAGGAATATGGGCGCTCTCCTGCATGTATGCTTTCATTGATCTTTACAGTATTCTGACCGGGTGCTTTATTGCAGATATCAAAGTAATATGGATGATCATCACCATGCATAAGTTGATGTTCATTCAAAGGACTCTGTTAAAAGAAAGGAAAATAAATTATGCTAAACAAAATGAAAGGAAAGAAATAAGTTGAAAGTAAGGCGTTAAACATCAATCAGTATTACATAAAACCACACTCATTACACGGCCATAATTTATTGGAAAGTCTGCTATATATAATGAAAAATCATTAGCCCTCCTCGAAAACTGGTTTAAAACAGCTCATTCAGTATGGGATGTGACGACAGTCTGCAGCATTTGAACCCAAACCTGAGTCTCAGAATTCAAATTATACTGCAACCTTGATTGTTAGTCACTCAGGTCATTTACTTCTTATCCTGTAGTAGGTCTGCATCTGAACTTGGTGGTGAACATATTAATTCACTCATTGTGATAGCAAGATGTTATAAATGCGCTACTTCATTTAGATTCTGGCTAGTTGTACAAAGCTAAATTTCTAGTCTCGCTTGGAGTTTGAAACACAACGACTGGGCTGTTTAATAATATGCAGATATTTATTAGGTTCAAGGGTGTTATGTCTTGGAAGCAAGGAATAGCATAAAATCACTTAAGGCCGGGCGCAAACGGAGCCACTTGTGGCCGCCACAAGCTGCAGACTGTATCTTGTATGGAGTTTTAATAGACTCAGCACAGACACGGCGGTCGTAGTGGCCGTGTCTCGCTACTTGTGGCTGCCTCCGACCACTGTTTACGCCGCGCAAAACGTAGCCACCCACTACCCTCAACACAGCTGGCAGGGCAGTCAGGTCAGTTGCTGTTCTGTAAGTCTTTCTGCAGGAGGTATGCTTTCTCTCATGATGGTATCTTGGCGTTTTAAACGATCTTGTAACAAGGACAATAATTCATTGAATGTTGTCAAACTCATTCGAAAATACTTAAAAAATTTATCTTCGTGCCTCGTTAGCTCCTCAAACAGCGTAGCAAAATGGTCGTATCCACTGCAAGTTCGCAATATTGGATGTATCCAAAAATGGTGCTGTCTTTGTCGTTGTTTACGTCAGCGTTGTCGTATTATTAGTATCTCGACCAATGCTTCCATATCGGAGTCCATTGTGCTACTGACGCGCGGTTGGGGAAAATGTCTGCATAAAGTGGCGACCACTAGTGGTCGTGTTTAGCCACTAGAGGCTCCGTTTGCGCCCGGCCTAAGTCAAGTGTACTCCCCAGAATCTCATTCCATAACTTCCAAACTCATTTTCTTGACCAAGACATGCACGTTGTTAGAAAAACTCCTGAGAATTCATTACACTATACTCACCTCACACTCAGCCTTTACTGTTGGAAACGTTATTTGCACAGGATCCTCTTCCACTTTTATATCTGTCACATCTTCAACTTTTACTTTGATGAGCCGACTCCCATCATGGGGAGAACTTAGACACGTTTCACCATACGAATCCGATACAACTTCCTGTAAACCGATGCAGTTCTGTAAAACCGCCATCACGCATATTAATTATCTAAATTTTATCACAAGGAAATGTTTGGGTACTTGAAAAAACCATTAAAGAATAAAAGTTCATAATGAAATGATACCCAGAATATACACAGGAGGTACACACAAAATACGGGAATTTGTTATTCACTGCTCCATAAAAACACAAGAAACTCCATGAAAATTCTTGAGAAGCTAATAGTTGCTTAGTTGACCATGAAATCACCTTCATGATGGAGGAAGTAAGCAGCTATGAAACATCAGTCACTTTTTTTAGTTCATGTGGCACAGCAGCCCAGAAAAAGGTCATATCCAAAATATAGTGTATTTTCATCTGTACAGTTTCAGAAACTGGGAGGGAAGAATAAAGTTTTCCGAACTGAACGGCAGGAAGTATTCCTCAAATTGAATCTGCTCTTCATCCCACAAAAAAGAAACACATGCCAAATTGAGACCTCTGAAACGTTGGTTAGCATCGACCAGACTACACAGCGCAACAACCCAGAAGACAGAAATCTTCATACTGATGATTTCTTGACTACAGGAGCATAAGAGATCAAATTTATTAAACAGTAAATATGTTGTTTCTTTATACCTGCTGCATGCAAATGAAAGCATTGCACACTCTCAAAACTGGATGTCATATTAAGACTGACTTATATTGTAAGAATGCAAGCACATGCTGTCCGCGAGCCACGAGAGTAGACCTGATATCTTTGAGGGAGGTGGGGTAGAATTCTGTGCTACTAGCAGGCCGAAATACAACCGCAGCTTATACAGGCCGTACGTTGTGAGCTAATGTACTAACTGACTGACTGACGACACAATGTTCTTAGGTAAGGAATACATCACCAGCGCATGCGCAGATCCGACTTTCCCCCTGCCACACAAGCAACGACTGTCTCGTGGCTCGCGGACAATACATGCACGTAAGTGCATATGCAAATAAGAAACACAAAAATCAGGTGAAAACAAAGTTTACCTTGGGTTCATTCTTTACTGTGGATGGTGCGTTAAAATCATCAGGTATCATGCGAGTGGAATCTTCTTCACCAAAAACATCCACATCATCTTCTCTTTTGATTATATCAATATTCTGCAGTAGAATTATCAATTAAACATAATGATTTCAGATAACACAGTTCACATACTCTAAAGATATGCAGCAAAGAGACTGCATGTATAATAGAGGATTCCACGCTGCAATTTTTAAAATCAAGTTATATGCAAGGCTTCAAAAATATAATAGGGAATTCTCTCAAACTAACATGAAGTGTTTTCAGGTTAAATTCTATCTCACTATTATTTCTCATATTAAAAATTCAGAAACATGAGATTTTTTGGAAATATTGAAACCTCACTAACCTTGTGTTGTTGGAGCAAGAAATTGAGAATAACTTACTGCGGTAAAGGCAAAGAACATAGCCTGTTAAGAAAGTACCCCACAGACACAACCCTTTAAGAGTTACATATCTTAAGTAAGCTTTATGGTTGATCAATTAAGCATTTTATATAAGATACTAATTCGTTTCACCTGGACACAGTTGAAAGTAGTTTTGTCCTGTTCTGCATAATTGAGAAATGTGACAAACTCTACTTAATCATTACAATGTGGAACTTCTTAATGTTCCTATGATTTAGTTTCACCTATTGTAATGGAAAACTTATTAAGCTATGATTCTGTGAACGTCATCAGACTGACACATGCATGAGATGAAAGTTATAAGGGCTTACTCAATCTCACTGAAATATATTACTTGAAATTCACAATATGAATTCACTAAACCCATCTAATGTACGAATATTCCTGTAGACTTGAAGAGACAGAAATTAAAAAATAACACATTCTTCTCACAAAATAATTAATTCAGTGAGTGAGTTAGAGTTTTTAAAGTTCTCATAGCTACGAGTATTTACACGGCTGTCTTCTGGGCTGTAGTGCCATCCAGTCTGGTAGAAGTTTACTAATGTTTCAGAGTGACTAGCTGCCTCTATCGTCATTGCCCTGATAACGGATGCAGCAAGTCCTCTGAAATGTCAGTATACTTCTACGAGACTACACAGTGCTACAACACAGAAGACAGTTCAGTGAATAAGTTGATCGATTACATTAATTTTCATACATAAATACTCACCAAGGTCTCCTTCAGAGATGGAATTGTATCACATCTCTGCAGTATAATTCGTGGTACTCTCATTACAAGAGACTGCACTACTGCATCACACATCATGGTTTTGGCTTATGTAGGAAATTGGGTTGCAAGTAACCTACAGACATAAATTCATAGTTCTGTTAATTGTATCTAACCTGGAATATCTCTCCATGTTGTGAAAGGAAACACTGATTACAGGAGGTGTTTAACGATACAAAGTTTAAAGGTAAAATGGATTTATTTCTAATAGGCATTCACCCTTCATTCAGACATACTGCAACTTCAATAACTTGACCCTAGACCACCACTTATCAGACTTCTTTAATAATACAACAGAGACTAACATGTCTAAAGGATGGAGGAAAAAAAAAGACATAATTTATTAAAATATGTGACATATCACAAAGATCATGCCTGAAAAGGAATGATGAAAAGTTTACAGAATCACAATGAAAAGTGACAGAAAATATGATCTAAGGTGACCCAACTGCAGAATAATAAGATTAGTAACATCACACACTCCAAAGACACTTGCACTTGGAAATAGTAAAATAGATATTTCAGTTATTTGAAGGCCGTGCCAATGCACCTGCAGAAGTGGAAAAGTAAGAATGAACAACATGACTTTTTATCATCTGAAAACTTGTCAATCTAGAGAGAGGAGGAGGAACTAAAGAAACTATACACTTCATTACAAAACAGTAACATAAAAGACATTAACATTTTCCACCTTCTAGAATAATGTCCATGTTATTAAAACTGACACTCATTCATCTCAAATAATCATAAATAAAGTAATGTCTTAGTTTTCTGGATATGGCTGATCAAAAGTACCCCTCTAATAACACTTTTCACAGTTATATTACCCTGATGCATGCTTAACATTAGTCTGGGAGATAAGTTATCAAAGCAGTCACAACTAATGTGCCAACCCACAGCTCTCGCGGACATATCTCTGACTACTTTTGTTAATTATCTCTTCCTTTCAAATTTTAGAACTACAATATTCTGTGCATTTCTATTCTCCACTGTCTGTGATACATGAGCCTGAATAAAAACTTCTGGTCCTCCAGGAAGATGGGGTTGCACATTGGGCCAACAACCCAATTCTGGAAAAGCTGACGTTCAGACACTCTTGAGACGAGGCCTCGGAAACATGACCCCGTGGTAGACGACATGGAAAAGGAAAAAGGACATGATTTTGGCTACACGGAACATCAGAAGCTTACGAAAAACAGGCGCTTTCGCAAGGCTCAAGGAAGAACTAGACAAATATAAAGTTGATATTGCTGCAGTGCAAGAGATGAGGTGGAATGGAAGTGGCATTCTGGGAATGCTCCTACAGCCATTGAATGATTGCACAGACAACTTATAGGAGCACTAAAGTGGTCTGTGAGAGAATTTATTTTACTTTTCATTTAATTTTTTTGTTGTGGGCATAAAACTTAATTTTGGAAAGGTTTCAGGGATTGCTTCAGCAAGGTACTTTGTTATATCTTCTGTTGTTATGGTTGTAATGTCACTGTTAATTCTTTCTATATTTGTTAAGAAGTATTGAAAGAATTTGGTATGAGTTAAGGATTCTTGATTATATTATCCTCTACCTTTATTTATGGAGTCACTTCTTCTGTAGAATATTTACATGTATCCTTTTCCACAATTTTACCAGACTGTTTTTACTTTGTTATCTGACTAATATCTCTTTTTAGTAAGGCATATGTTCAGCCTATTTAATGATCTGAATTATTATTTTGCAATATTTACTGTTGTGACTTTTCATTATTTGGCTGTTAACAGCTCAGAAATTTAGGTAACGATCTCATTTATGCATACAGGATGTTTCGATAACCTTAGTAATCCATCAACGAAAACTGGGACCCAGTATTGAACAGACATGATGTAGAAATTTTGAATCTACATCATGTCTGTTTAATAATGACTCCCAGTTTTCATTATTTAAGTGCATTATAAACTCCTTAATAGTGTCATTATTTATAGGTCTGAATTGTTTCCTGTAATTACGATAATTAGAGAATGATTTCATATTTCTTATAACTAAAAGTTTGACATCATGATCAGAGAGCCCATTTGTCACTGGTTCTATAGAAATATGATCTTTCCTAGAACTATCTTTAAAACACTATCAATGGCAGTGCTGGAGTAATTTTCAATTCTTGGGGAGAACTACTGACATCAGATTAAAGGATGTTAGTAGGTAGTCCAGACATTGTTTGTGGCAGCGTTCAGTAAGATAATTTTGACACAATAAATTACAAATTCTGCCCTAGGTTTATAAACATAATTTATAATGCTTCCTAACTTGTTTAAGAATATCTCAAAATCACCTGTGTTGCACAACACAGCATTCTATATCTTGTTCATTGCAGTGATGCATTAAATCTGATTGAATTTTAGATTCTTTTTGACAAAAATTCTCACTCCTCCTTTTGAATAAATATCAAAGGGAAGTACACTATTCAGGTTTCAAGTCACTCAATAAAATTCCACCTTCAAATAAAAGTTTAAATAATGACACAAAAGTATCCAAGCCAGCAAGATAAGAAAACCCCTCAACTCACTCCTACAATTCCTAGGCTTCAGGTATATCTAAACGTGAAATTAAGTTCTGTACTTGCATTACATGTTCTGCATCTTCTGGTTAAGCCAAAAGAAAGATATATGGACTACAGCCTTCATTGAAACACATTTTAAAAAGTTTAACCAGTCTCTTTTGGGTATGCCAAACTCAATGAGAATATTATGCAATGAAACCCTCCTTACTAAAAAACACGCCATCTAGAAGTACATGAATAGCTGATGTATTGTCTCACTGTGCCAACATTTTTTTTCCTCTAGTATCTGTCATGAACACAAAAAAAAACTGGTCACTAGTTGATGTACTAATTCGCAACAAACACTCATCATCATGCACAATAATTTCGTCTACGTGTGGACTTAAAAACAGGAGAACGATGTTGGATACAACTTTGTGTAAGGAAGCACATTTATTCACAAAGGCTGTGAGACTGTCATAAAATATAAAGTCACATGACACCGCATAACTGGAGGAGGTTATGTTCCAACCATATCTGTTCCCCCTAATATCAATTTTATTATCCTCACCTTGTAGATGCCTGGGTCTCTAAGGTTATCTGTTCCACAACATTTATATGTTTTTCCTGCTTTTTATGTGTGTGCAGCGAATTACAAAATGCTCTGAACGAAAAACGAGAGAGGGAATACACAGATAACTTCCTGAACGACAAAAATTACCTCCTCAAGAAGTCGGAAGTCACAAAGCTTGAGAAACAGGTATGCCACAACAAGAAATAAATATACAAAGTCCATTTGGCGATATTTCTCTTTGCATTCCAAGAATGCGATTTCTCTGTCTCTCCTGATATTTGTTATATGTCACTTTACGAAGCTTCGAAACTCATTTCTTCTTTACACCTTCCTGCGTCCCTCACAGTTATTTCTAGCTCTGTTCTGCAAGCTTCTCCCGACAAAACTGAATATGTCTTTTGTGGTCTCTCACCTTAATTACACGAGGAGCGCATTGTAACCACGTTGACGCGATTATACTGAAACTGCTATTTGCGGTCACACTGCTGCCTAATATTAAACACTTTCTGTAAATTCTACGAACACAAACACCTGCCAGCCACCAAACTCATTAAACCAACACACTAGCCCACGCTAGCTAATACTGAATTCTGGGACACATGCCAAAGAACATCTACGCTTGGACAGGGTAGGAAACGTAAAGAGCAAAGATTACCCACAAGCAACCAACTTTTACCGTATCGAAACTTATTGTCGAATGCACGAAATTACTCATGTGAAGCTTGAAAATTATTAGAATTCTTATAATTTTAAAATCTGTAAGTTAACATAATTTCGTATTGGTTGGGAAGCCTGAGGGGACGAGACCGCTGGGGAGACCTAGACGTAGATGGGAGGATAATGTCAGGCGGGATCTATGGGAGATAGGAGTTGAAGGACACTGGATTTTGTTGGCCCAGCCAGAGTCCAGTGGAGGGCTTTGGTTAATTCTGTGATCAACCTTCGGATTCGGTAAGCCATCTAGTTAGTTAACATAATTTCGATAGAACGCGATGTTCTACGTTTTGCAGGGTTCGACATTTTTGCATCTTTAAAAATTACAAATACTTTAAAATTTAATGTTTAAATGATACTCAGGATTGAAATGTGCAGACCATTTTGGATAGGGTTAGACTCTCCTAGACAGGCTGCAACTGCCAAGTTTGGTTATGTTAGTTCAGATTTCAACAGGCATACAGCGTTCCACAGGCTTTAACTCGTCTGAACAGTCCTGCATTCAGATCGTATGAATTGCCTTAACAAGCTTCTCTCTCATGCAGGTTACATACCCTGCCCACCTCATCCTCCTCGACCTGATCATTCTCATATTTCGCGACGGATAAAACTTTTGAAGCTCCTCTTCATGCAACTTTCTCCAACCTTCTGCTAGTTTAACCCTCTTGAGTGCAAACATTCCCCACAACACCCTGTTCTCAAAAACCCTCAATCTGCATCCCTCCCTTAGTGGAAGAGACAAAGTTTCATGCCCATAAAATACTCACTCTATGGTGCAGGAAATTCTTTGAAAAGTCAACTGTATACTCGGCCTGTCACGGAATAGCCTACTTTCTTTATGGAAACCGACGGCTCATCACCATGTCCACAAAATCCCTCTACCAGACTCCATCCTGAGACGGTTCACTCCATCAATTCCAATCTCCCAAAGGTGCAGGTTAACCTTATCCTCCCATCAACAACTAAGTCTTCCCAGTGGCCTCCTCTCTCAGGCCTCCTAACCAATAACCTGGAAACATTCCTCCTCTCCTCCATGTGTGCTGCATGTCCTGCCCATCTCATCCCCCTCGATCTAATCACCCTACCAATATCAGGTGAGCAGTACAGGCCACAAAGTTCATAATTATGCAGTTTTCTTCATGATCCGTCCCCTCCCTTTTAGGTCCAAATATCCTCCTCAACACTGTTCTCAAAGGCCCTCAATCTGTGCTCCTCCCTCAAAGTGAGAGACCAAGTTTTGCACCCATACAGCACAACTCACAAAATTACACTTTTCTATATTTTAATCTTTAGTTTCTTTTATATGAGACGGGGTGGACAAAACATTCCCTGAATTTAATCCGGTCTTGATTTCGTTATGAGTCGTTCAGACTTGTGTCATCCCCAGGTACTTGCATTTTTTTACATTTTCTAATGAGTCATTAGCAATCTTTATGTTCTGGTTCTGTCCAGAAATTATGATGCCAAGACATTTTCACATACTTTTTCTTTTCTGCATGTATTTCTAGACCAACACTCCTTCTGGCCCTCAAGAGTGTTTCTGTGTTCGTTTTTATAGTATTTATATTATAACCCAACAGATTAATATCAGCATAGGCAAGAAGTTGATGTGTCCCATTGAATTCCTATTAGAAGATACGTGTATTGTCATGTGATGGAAACTGACCTAACAGTATCGCAGAATGCCAGTCAAGTATCAGCTTCTGGCAACAAAGTACTTAGTCTCTTTTTCAATACTTCTTAAAATATTTGAGGGGCCCCCCAAAAAAAAAGCTTCTAGTCACTGTAAAATGACATGAGCAGTGTACTAGATGTTTAGTGGAAAGTTTGCTCCTGTGACA